CTCAGGACGGAGGAAAGTAGATACAAGGCCCAGAAGCAGACTACTGAGCTTGTGTATGGTGTATAGGCTGCAGCCTTCATCTTTCCACTAAAAAGAGGGAAGATGAGCTGTTCTCTCTCACTATGGGGACGGCATTAAGCTCATCTGAGTGTTAGGAAAACTATGAATTATAATTCTGTTATTACAGTTTACAGAGCCATTATTTCAAACTGCTCATGTGAAAATTCTTTCCAAAGTAAAGTCTACTCCACCCACACAAAGCAGAGATTGGTGTCTAAGCTGTAGTTGTAGAATATATTCTCAAGAGAACCATCTCCACAAGGAAATTAAGGACAATGATAACTGGGCAAAGCGTTTCCTTAAAGGTGGGCAAAGGTTTCTGCTGATTTATATCGAATCTGTCAGCAGCATGAATACTGTTATGATATGAAGTTAGAACAAAGATAAGCACACCTCATGCTCAGATCTTTCTAATAGCTGATGTCTCTATGTCTGTGTATTTACTCTGATCTACTTGAACCAGGAATGACAAGCACTGTAAGTGTTTCACTGTTACTATTAGTTTTTTTTTTTTTAAAGAGCACTTTGATGCCTGGAGTTCTGGCGACTAGGATAGACTAGTCTTCCCATTTTCCCCTTAGCATAAATGGCCTCTTTTGTGACTCTAACTGATAGTCATGGCCTGAAGAATGTGCTCTTGTGCGTTTCTATGAAGTACACAGACTATCAGGTTCTTTCCTTTCTACCTCTGTAGCACAGGGCTAGTGTTAACCTATTAGAAATCAGTTTTTTATAGGGAAATGATGATCTAGCTGGGTCATCAGAGATAATTTTATTCAACTTCTAAATGTTACAAAAGATATCAAAACTCAATAAACATTACAGATCTGAACTGCTAACTTTGATCTATGTTATAGTCTCTAGCTCAGACTCCCATAGGCACACTGCACACCCAGTGTGGAAAAGGTTGCTTCTAAAGTCTACAGGGTGATATCAATGAACCAACATTACAATTTGCTTCATAGCCACCAGAAAAGCCCTTATGGGTAAAGAGCTTTTTACTCTCCCTGTAGATACCATCATTCCACAGACTTGTCCATGGAAGTCTATAAACATGGCTTCATCTCCAGTCCCACTTTCTTAAGGCTCAGAAACACCAGTTATGGTCCCACCTTTTGGAGATTTTGGTGAGACTCTGAATGTAGAGCTGAGTAGTTCCTCCTTTAAAGATATATACTATTACTTTTCTCTTTAAACCTGAATCTTAGTTTGTAATGCTTGTACAACTTGTTTGATTATATCCTGCTGAAATAAAAAGTACGCTACAAAAATCACATAACAGGAAAGGGTAGTTAAATTCCATTAGTAAACACTGAGGGATTTAGTATAAAAAATTCTGAAACTGGGTGAGTGACTCCTAAAAGCATACTCTATTACCTAGGGAAAATTAACTAAGATTGGTAAGTTATGATGCAATAATCATTTCTTTCTTTATTAAGCCAACTCATACAAATAGGGAACCCAGGCTCAATTTCACAGCAGCTATAGGGAGACTTCCAGACACTTCCTCTTGAGGATGGTGAAGTATCCTGGGTCCTGCCACCAGAGAGATGATACATTCTCATGGTGATCCCAGGCCCTACCACCCAAGAACAGCCTTTTGGTGCTTCCAAGAACCACCCTTCAGCATCAACAACATATCATCTAGGTCAAAGGATAGAGAAAGTCTTTCCAAGCTATTCTAATATCTGGTAGAATATACTTTAAACCAAAACTAGTCAGGAGAGATCAGGAAAAACTCTTTATTTACATATTTATCCAGGGGGAAAAATGAACCAAGAGGGTATTAAAATTCTAAATTTTTATGTACCAATCAGAGGGATTCCTATTTTAATAAAAGAAATACTATTAGATCTAAAAGCACAGACTGACACTTCAATACCACACTCTTAAGTCATCCAGACCAAAACAAAACAAAACAAAACAAAAAAGAAACTTTGGAATCAAATAACCCATAAATCAAATGGACATAATAGACATCTATGAATATTGTTATATCTACAAAGCTAATTCAGCAGCATTTATAAGCAAATATCTTAGCAGCTGTTGCTCCTTCCTCAGCATTCAAACAATTTAAAGAGAGCATAATAACATACAGTATCCAGACTCTCTTGTGTATTTTTCATCTTTATGTGCCTTTAATTTAACCTCTATCTCTTTTGTTTATAGTTTTACTTTTTGAGACAGATTCTCTTTATATCATTGGCTGTCCTGGAACTCCCTCTGTAGACCAAAATAGCACAGATAGAAAAGAAAGCCAGCTCCCAAGAATGGATTACTTCATTTGGAACTGTTGGCCAGTGGGATTCTACAGACCCCCAGGTTTCACGCACTATTCACATTGCTTTTGTACTTTCCAGAACTTGATGGTAACATACTATTGCTGAAGACAACAGATAAGAAAACCAAGCAGGCACTAACCTAGAAGCCTAATTCCTACTGGGTAGCTTTCATACTGCTGGGAGGTGCTAGATATGCTACCAAGGCAGAGAAGTAACTATTAATCCCACCCAGCTGGGAACCATGCAAGCTACAATAGGATCTAGGCTGGCGCAGGAAGACACAAACATGGAAGCAACCAAATACTTTCTGATTAGATTTAAGACTGACTCCACAAGACACAGCCAATGACCTGTAGCTAGATAGGACTTGGAACCCAAGAGAGATCATACTCTCTCTTGTTAAATGCACATGCTATAAAATGGGTCATTAATGACATTGATATGCCCATTCTGAACTCATCTGAGAAGTTTCTTCCTGCTGTAGATGGTGATTAATGTGGTGTACTGGCTGAATTTGTGTGTCAACTTGACATTAGCTAGAGTCATCAGACAGGAAGGAGCCTCAGTTGAGGAAACACTACATAATAACTAGCTGTAAGGCATTTTCTCAACTGGTGATGAATTGTGAAGGGCCCAGCCCATGATGGATGGTGCCATCCCTGTGCTGGTGGTCCTGAGTCCAATCTATAAGATAGCAGGCTGAGCAAGCCAGAGGAAGCAAGCAGTATACCTCATGGCCTCTGCATCAGTTCCTGCCTCTAAGATACTGCTACGTTTGAGTTCCTGTCCTGACTTCCTTCAATAATCAATAGCAATATGGAAGGGTAAGCCAAATAAACCCCTTCCTCCCCAACTTGCTTTTCTGTCATGGCATTTTATGACAGCAGTAGAAACTATAATTAAGACACATGGATACCCACAATTAGTCAACAAGTAGAGAATAAGAGACGGAGGAGTGCGTAGACCTAAATGGGATCTCCCTATCTCACCCCCTTCTAAGGCTCAGGGATCATAGTAGAGCAGGGGATCAAGGGGCAGAAAAAGTAAGAGCCAGAGGTGGGGGATGACTATAGCAAAACAGTGTTTTCCAGATGCAGTGTCATAGCTGCACATATGAACAGCACACATACATTCTGCACATGCACAAGCTGACAAAATCTCCACATGGAGGGAAAGGTGAGCAGGAAGGCCATCTTAGCTGAGGAGCTATTGGCAACGACAACTTCTGGGGAAGAGAGCCATTTGTCTTTATGGGTGTGAAAGTTGGTAGCTGACAAGGCTCGAGGGAGTATCATCACAGGGAGGAGTACTTGGGCAGCACAGATGGACAGGACGGACTGAAAACAAAAAGGACACAAAGTTGTGTGAGTAGGGAGATAAGGATAGACCTGGGAGGAGTTTGGGGAAGGCAGTAAATGTGTGCAAAATATATTATATGAAATTATCTCCCACACTCTGCTCCTAAGAATTCCTAATATTGAGCTGACAGAATGTGCTTTAACTCTAAAAATCAAAACTCATCATGGATTAGCAACTCATCTTTGCAACTTCCATAGCTACCTGATCATTCTGTGGAGATTTTAGTTACAGAGTATATATAACTTACATATATGTATAAAGATAAAAACAGAAATACAAATAATGGTATTCATAAGCCATATCTAAAAATGGGTACTTCCTTATGCAAAGAAATCAGATTGTATTTTGTTGCTTAATAAAAATTGATTTGTGTAATAGAAATGCTATAAAGGTTAGTACTTCTATAAAAAGCACATTAGGCATAAGGGAAATTCTAAGACAGAATAGGAAATAGACTCAAAAATAAGTTAATGTCAGCAACTACAGAGAGGTAAAAGATCCTTTAGAATCAGATTGCTATTAAACTTGGACACTCAAGATGAACAGGCAGAGCTTTGGCAACAGAATTCACAGACAGACTGACTGACTCAGAGACAGTTTGACAACTGCCAACATGACTGTTGGGAGCATTTCCAAAGAGCCAAAGGCTGGGATTACCATCCAATGCCTGGCATTCTGACACTTGCATTTGAAGCTTTCTCTATTACTCTTCATCCAATATTTGTGTTTGGCTCAAAAACAGCAAGGATTCACAATTTTTTTTATATCATTAAATGTTCTTATTTTCAAGAAATATAACATTAGTTGTAAAAGAGCACACTTTTTTCTGTGAAATATGAAGAAATTTTGATGAACTGCTTTACATTCAAATAGAAAAATCAGTGTTGAGGTCTGTCTGAAATTTTATAAGGTTATTTATAAGCTATAAAATATATATCCATATATATACTCATAATACAATTCAGTGTTCCATATTGTGGTAAGTTCTTATAGGCCTTCGCATGGCTTTATTTTTTTTTTCTTGATTGTCATATGGCCCAGAAGCCCTACTGGAATAAGTCAGCTCCTGTGATGGGATCAAAGATAGTGAAATCTGGCTGTAAGAAGCAGTTGTGTAACTATTCCCTTAAGCTAACAGGAAAGCAGGAGGTGAAGATGACCTGCTGAGGAACATGGGCACTGGCTAAGTGCATATTCTCAGGACAATGCCCACTGAATACAACTTCTAACAATCATTAGGAGTTAAGTCAGATGGAGAACTTAAAATTATACATACACATTTCCCCAAGAAAAGCTTACCTTTGGGTCTCTAAGGAACAGAGCTTTAAGGATCAGTGAGTGTATGTCTCCGATGAGTGGATAATGCATCAGAAGGCCGAGGCAGGTCTGGTAGTTACTAGAAATTACTAAATAAGAGAAAAAAAGGATTCAGACACAATATTGTTTGTATGGTGGATATAAGAAAATAACTGAGAGTCAAAGGAAGTGATGCAGTAACTCAGGTGATTTAACAGAAGTCTGTCTGAGGAGAGTTCTTCCTCAAATGCTCTCTGGATCAGTGCATCTCACCTACAATCTAACACAGGTACAAGTCGAAGAAAGAGGTACAGACCCAGTCCTGGGTATTTGCACCATAAATAGATTCTTAAAAATATGTTGTCATTCACATAGATAGCTACCTTTAGCTTTGCTGCTGAGAAATTAGTAACAAGAACCTTGTAAATGGGGAAGCAGTTGAATGTTCTAATATAATAGCACTCACCTCGGTCACTATGCTTGATAATTCACACCATGCTCTCATCCTTTTATATGAGTATCACACAACTTAAAACTAAAAATACAATTTTCTACAATTATTGCTTTTTCTAAAAGTAAGAAGAAATTTAGAACTATCTATACAGGATTTCTTTGGGGAGGAAAGTGAAAATCTTCCATGATCAGCTTTCATTCTGCAAGCTGTTTTCAAATCAACCTAATTATGGGTACAATTATTAAACACACCTTTTAAGACCGGTCTGTGTAAACTATTCCATTTCTTGTCTATCTGTTACTGTAGTTAGAGCTGGCCCATTAAGGACACCTGTTTTGTGAACTGCAATGACTGCAAGACTGACTGTGTGAAAATTTCCTATAGTTGTAACTAAACCTTATTTATTAATACATTACTTGAAAAATGTCCCACAGGAAAATAACTTTCATTTAAGGGAAATAAGACAAATAAAATATTGATTATAATCAGGAAAATCTTGATCTTTAGATTTTTTTTCCCTGCTGCTGAAAAAGATACTTCTTGAGGAAGCTCTCTACCATGCTCCCTCCTGAGAGCACTGTGCGAAGGAGACTGGATCGGGCAGAATGAGGAATCCTATGCTGTGTACGGAACTGCTTTATCTTCTTCATTTCCACCACTGGTCTGACAGCTTGTAATTTCACACATCTGCCTTCATTTGTAAAGCGCTCACTTACCCTACCTGCTCTCTGTCTCTGCAGACTCCCCTTATTTGTTCATTTCTCCACATTCACATTCCGTTCCCCATTGCCATTTTTTATCTGGAAATTTAAAAAGCTAGGATATAGTAGTACAATGCTTTAAATGTGCAGTTTTCATTTAAGGTGAAGAAGTTTTAAAAAAAACAGGCAATCAGTTGATCGGTAATTCAAAAAGCTATTTTCTCAAATGCTCTAATGATAACTTTAGTACCTGGACAGGAAATTACATTTACACATTTTGTAAGAGAGGCAGAGAGGTCTGTGGAACATATTTTGGCTGCAGTGCTCAAACTTGAATCTAGGGGTCCTATTTGAGTCTTCTTTAAAGTGGCTTGAAGTGACACTTGACGTCTGTTAGGAACCTCTCTAACAATTTTCCGACTTGATAAAACTGCTCGCATCATGCCATGCAATGACTCATTAAGGGACTGCTCTGAAATGGTCCCAAGCTAACACAGGACACAGAAGCCAACAAGGAACAAGCCCTTGCTCTGGAGACAATCCATGGCACAAAGGCAACAACGATCTCACTGAGATGATGAATTTTTTTTTTTTCGAGACAGGGTTTCTCATTGGCTTTGGAGCCTGTCCTGGAACTAGCTCTGTAGACCAGGCTGATCTCGAACTCACAGAGATCCGCCTGCCTCTGCCTCCCGAGTGCTGGGATTAAAGGCGTGCGCCACCATCTCCCGGCTGAGATGATGAATTCTAAAGGCTTTGGGTCAAGAACACAGGTTCAGAACTTTATGTGCCTTATCTCATGTTATATATGCATAGGATATTTCCCCTTGTATTACACATGCAAAGGCTGATACCTGGAGAGGGTAGGTAAATCACTTTCTCAAATCACACAGTGATTCCTTGGTGTAGCATGATTTGAAATTCAGGGTCTGTACTCTATGTAGTTATATAAAGCTGTTTAAAAAATATTGCTTTGAAATCAAATGATACAATTCATACAAATATCAACACTAAGTCTTTTAACATCATTACTCTAATACGATAGCTGAAGTACCCTGAAAGGTCAATCTTATTGAGTCTCTAGAACAGTTGTATATAACTGGGCATTATTTGGAAGGACTAGCACAATAATGCTGTTACCTTACCTTTAACATTATGAGAATCTACAAAGTGTAGAAGGCATGACAATAACATGTTAAGATTATCCTTGGAGAACAAATGAAGATGCTAGCAGTGTTCTTGTGCATCTATTCATACACATCTCACTTTACACTTTCTGAGCATCACTACATGCCTGATCCTCAGACTACTGATATACCAAAACTAAGGCTGTAACAGCAGGGAAGACTTTCAACTCATACCATATTCAAGTTACTACTGAAAAATCTGTATTTTTCATCTGAACTTAAGTCCCACTTGGATAACTATGCCCAATTTATGGCATGTAAAAAAAATACAGAAGCTTGTTTAAGACAAGGTTGCAGGAATCTGACACACTAAGAGTTTAGTTTTGCTCCTTCTTTACCCCCTCCTCCCCTAGCTCTCATGTTCCCTTCTTTTTTTTTCATAGCATGTGGTGTTGAACCTAGGACTTCATACATGCTAGGCAAGCACTCTACCTCTAAACTACATCCCCAGAAGTTTTGCTCTTTCTAGTAATTTTTTGTTTAATACAAAAGATGAACGCAGTATTTTTCCGTATGCAGGCTGCAGTGCCATGGCTAATTTTAACCTTCCCTGAACCAGCTCTTCTCAGTGACACCTAAGCATTTGCTTTTAAAGCACAATGACGCATTAACACATTTTCTCAAATGCACTCACTGCACTTTTTATTAATTTATTTTCCAGGTTTTTTTTTTTTTGTTTATGTTTTTGCCGTATCACTAACCAGCTTATACCACCTGGCCGTAAACTCATAGAAACCCACATGTTTACAACTCTGGAGTGCTGGGATTAAAGGCATGCACCATCATACCTGACACTGGTTAAAGGAAAAAAAAAGCCACAAAGAGCTTTCCTAGAACTCTTCGAGTGAGGTATCTTCTAATAGTACACAGACTTCTTTGAGTAATCGCTAATAATAACAAAGAAGCCTCTGTACCTTTGCTGTGGCCTTTTGCAGTCTCCCTGTCACCCCTTGTGCCCGGCATCTGTGTAGTTGAGTGTACCCAGGCTGTCACCCTAGTCTATCTAGAATGTCTCTAGCGAGGGGCACAGGCACTGTCTTTCTCAGTGTCTCCATCAAGCAGTACCGGTTTCACACAGAGTAAAGCTGACTTAGCTGTCTCTGTCTTTAAGTGGCCCCAACTATTCTAAAGTGGTCTGAAGAAATTGGGCTGTATAGCTTTCCCTGGAGAAATAATAACAAATGCAGTCAAATCAGTAAATCTAAGCAGAGATGTGATTACACAGAGAAATTTGAAAGCAACATAAATAAATACATATGTATAACTCACTGCTGGCTACCTATAACTAACATTTTTCTCCAAATTATTCAATTTTGTATGGAGACTCAATTTCTCAGAGTAACAAGGCAGATAGAAAATTACCAAAAACCGAAACGGCTTCCTGGAATGTCCTTAAATTCAGAATAACAGCTACCCCCTCAGGTACCGACAGCGTGACCGGAAACCTGCCATCATTGGATGTCCATCCCATAACAACCCATGCTCTCTAGAAAAGCAGCCTGCTCATGCACTTCCTTCCACAGATGAGACATGGTGCTGCAGAGTAAACAGCAATTCACCCAGGCCAAGGGCTCCTGACAGTCTGCTGAAATAAAACCCTTGGCCTTCACTGGTATCCAATGTTTTCCTCCACTTTTAGCAGACAGCATTATGACAAGGGTGTCTATATATAGGAGAAAAAGAAGACACATTGCAGATGGCTTCTAAAAACTGTTTCAACTTCACAGAATCCACAAATAGATACTAAAAAATGTCCTTAACATATAAAAGCCAGGTGCAGCAAGTATTTGAAAACTGGCATAAGAACTTATATTTATATATGGATTTGGCATACAGAACAAATAATCAAAGACCTCATATAAAACTAAAAACAATGGGGACTGGAGAGATGTCTCAGTAGTTAGGAACCCTTACTAATATTGCAGTAGACAGTACCCACAATAGGTGGCCTACAAATTCTTGTAACTCTATCTCCAGAGAACCTACTGCCTTTGGCCTCTGAGGGCACCTGAACTCAGGTGCGCGTGCACGCGAGCACACACGCACGCACGCGCGCACACACACACATACATACATACACACACAATCAGCCAAGTCCTTTTAATATTGCTCATATATAGGTATTTAGGGCTGACCACATGGGACATTTTTTGTTTCATTGTGGTTTCTGGGTCTTAATAATACTTTAGTCAGTAATAATGACTGTCAGAGGAAATACATAGAATATGGATTATATTTTAGATGTGCAAAAAGGGAAGGGCCTTGCCACCATTTCTGATGACTTGATGTTGAACCCTGGGATAAACATGGTGGAAGGAGAGAAGTAAGGAGAGAAGAGAATTGTACTGTTGACCTCCTGATATATGACATGGTATACATGTGTATGCAGATAAACACAGACAGACACACACACACAAACATATACATATGAAATATTTTAAAATAAGTGCTAACAGCATCATTTTCTTGTAGTTAGATTTGTGTATTCATTCATTCATTTATTCAACAAATATTAATTTAACTCCTGTTAGGTTTTTTAAAATACTGAGTTCAATCCTAAGAACAGTCTCAAATTTCTCTTCATATTCACTGGAAGTGAAGAATAGTGTTTGCAACAAAGAAGCTGGCTGGTAATGGTGTAAGGATTGGGATAACTCTGTGAATAGAAACGTGTTGTAGGCATGGCTACCACCATCAACACGTGCAGGCAAACAGAGGTACAGTACTGAGTGGACACTGGGTGTTGAGGTCAAGGATGTGGAAGGAGA